AAATCCTGAAGGGCCAGCTGGCGCATGGGTCAGAGCTTGGTGGATAATGAGCTCACACTCTACCCTTTACCACTTAAGTACCAAACCTTGTTGTTAACAAATATTAGTATCTCATTAGTTTAAAGAACCTATTGGAAAGTCTGGAGGATTTTTCCTTCAAAAAATATTAGTGGATTCTATCCAAAACTAATTGGGTAACTTGCCGATATTTCACATGAAACAAGGTGAACCGTCTGGGGACACCCTCATCCATTGCATGGTGGGTCTGGTTCAAGGGAACATATGTCCTGGCTATATGCAGCTAATTGCTGCTGTTACAGCTTCTACAATCCCAGTTATATCTAAAAAAATTGTGAAATATAAAAAAGAAATATCCAGCCCCTGATGATTTCAAATTACATTATATCATTAGAAGTTCACAATAATGCGAGCACTCTTTCATTCATCCAACTTTTGATCCCCTACAAGTAATTTAGATGGGGAGTGATGGTAAATTGGTGATTGATAGAGAACCAGATTGTAGCACATACCACTAAGAAGAGGTTGCCTGCTTTCTTAATGTTTTTGTGCCAATGAAATTATTTATTTTCATTGTGTATAATTCTCCCGTCTACTTGGGATATTTTTCTGCAGTCCTATGGAATAAAAGTTGGATATGGAGGCATTCCTGGACCATCAGGTGGAAGAGATGGAGCTGCTTCTCAAGGAGGGGGTTGTTGCACTTAAAATTTGAAAATCATTCTTCAAACTTGATCATGTTCTCATCATCTCTATGCCAGCCGTCATCACGGGTCTTTCCTTCTTATCTTCCAGAGGTCTCTTTGATTTGTTTTAATGATGTTATCTGTGCAAAAATAAGCCAAATTCAGTAAATAGTGGACAGTCCATCTTTGTGTGCCCCCGTGTATAAAAGTTGACATTACAAAATGTGAATAGAATTCCTTATATCTTGTGTGCTTGTGTGAATGAGAAATATTGAACTACACTTGCCCGCCCTTCTTTTCTGTTCCAAGTCTTGGGTGTCAATTTTCTTCTTCTTGTACAGTATCTTAACACAAGGTACAGGCAACACGATCACTGCCAGAGTAACTGGCACAAATAGCCGCATCTGATCAATGGAGAAAGATACCTTATATTAGATGTTTGAGAATGAAGAAAAAGTATGACTACTTTTAGTATTGTAGTAACTCCGCACCTTCAACTAATTCAAGCAATTCAGTCAGTAGGAAAGTCATATCACTGAACATTGGTTTGTCGTTTCATACGGAGCAAGGTATGGCTCACCTATTAGCTTTTACTATTTTACTTCATTATGTTCTGGAAACTTGGTGAGATGGTCAATAATCAAGACATCCACTTCCCTTTGTTCTATTTTATGTTTCTCCTGGAAATATTGTACAGATAGTTAACCTTTCCATTCGGTTTGATGAGAACAACAATAGTATTCAGTCACTATCTTAAGATTGAGGTGGATACAGTGGCGGAGTCAGAAATTTTAATAAGAGAATCTAAACAATACATAGATGTCATACAACCATGAATCAGTGAGGTTTGAGGTGTCAACTAAAAAACAATTTATTTGATTCTTCCTTTGAATGAATCGTATCAACTGAACTCTTACGAAATTATGTAAGCAAGCAAAACTTTTTGTACTTTTGATTGGTGACTGCTACAATGCCATATGGAGTCCATTCCCAGGAAATTCACTCTAACTATGCTTCAGTCCCAAGCTAATAGATGATCGACTATATGAATCTTCACTAATCATTTTGCTATTTATCAACAATAACATATCAAAAGAGTTAATCAGAAGTCCTTTACTTTTTTGCTGTTAACTTTCTAGCTCTCTGCTGAAAAACTTCATGTTCTGTGATGAAGGATTTTGTTTTTATGTCTAAGACTGTTTTTCATTTAAAATTTCCTTCATCAATGCAACTGATATATGTTTTCAGACTACCTCTGGGGTGTGGTGGGATGGATATGATCCCTCCACCCTTAACTAGATATCTCGAGTTCAAGCTTTGGTAGGGTGCATTCCCTCTTTACTAGATCTTTAGGTGACATGAATCTGAAATAGTCGAATCAGTGAGAACCAAATACTAGATGATTTCCTCTAAAAATATATATCAGGCCTTTTAAAATGACATGTCCTTGTTTTAGCATTACAGATGACATGAAAAATATTATCTGCACATAATGTTACATTACACATAAGAGAAGGGGAGGGGGGAGATTTGGAAGAAAGAGTGGATTGCTTTGCTCTAGTGGAACTTGAGACTAGTCAAGACATTGTTGTTTACTGGATCAGCCAAATGATCAAGAAGGTTTTGGTAAGGTCCAACACCAGTAACCAATGCTTGAATAAAGTATCCCAAAATAGCCAACATAGCAAGTCTTCCATTCTTAATCTCCTTGAGCTTCAATTCCTTCATGGACTTTTCATCTTTCCCAAATCCAAGTGGGTTAAACAATGGGCCACCTGGGTATGCTGGGTCACCTGACCCACCCAAACCCTTTTCAAGGCCTAAGAAGTATTGTTTCCCCATTGAACCAGGTTTGGCCCAATCTTGGAATCTCCTGTGCTCAGCAAAGCCCATGAGTGCCATCTCAAGGACAAACAATGTGTAGTTGTCAGCCCAGTAGTTGTATGTTCCTGCTGGTGGGATTACACCAGTTTGGAACCATGCAAGTGCTGTTTCTTGTGGGATGAGACCAGCTTTTCCAAGAATCTCTGGTGCTATTGACCCTACTGCTCCTAACATGGCGAACCGACCATTGATGACCTCGCCATATGCTAGCCATTTCGGCTCGATGAAACCTCCTGTGCCTTCAGGGTCCGAGAGTCCCAAGGGATCAAAACCAAAGTCACCAGGAAGACTGTGGATCAACAAACAATCATTTAGTAAGTTGACTTAAGATAGCATTTTAGGTTGAGTTCAAGTTATATATCATCTGTGCAATGTAAATAGCTGTTGTAAATCAACTTAACCTGCATAGACTCTTGTCGATTACCTTACATGTGCACCATGAGTTTTTATACTATATTAAGGTTGATGCGCGACCTATATTTGTTATAAATCAACTTAACCTTCTTTACACTGTTCGTGCATAGAACTTAAATTCTTGTCGATTACCATTTATGTGCATCATGTACTATGTGTGCAACTCAATTGATTGTAGCAAGTTATAAATCCATTTCCAGGATACTATATTAGGTTTGATATGTAGTGCAATCTACAATTGTTGTAAATCAACCTAACCTTTTTTACACTGTCAGTACACAAAACATAAACTCTTGTAATCGTTATGTGTGCAATTTTCCAGGTTACTATATCAGGCTTGATATGGAGTGGTACCTAGATTTGTTGCAAGTCGATTTAATTTTTTCTTACACTGTCAGTGTACAAAACATAAACTCGACAAGGCTATTGAAAGAGCTATTATAAGTCACACCAAGTCTCATAGATGTTACCTGCCATCCAAGTATGAAAGGCTTTGCTTGGATGCAAACCAGAGTTGCCTATTTGCTCCTTGCTGTAAAACAGAATTAAGTGTATGAGTACTAAACAACTCACACTTGCACACAAAATTCAAGATTAACTTATGTTTCACCACACTTGATTATAATTCTGAGATAATTATACTTTTCGACTATCTTGCTCAGACTTTGAAAAAATGTCGACGACTTTTGTTGAATCCTTCGAAACTAGTGCATTTCTAGAGGATCCTAACAAGTGTACACAATATTTTCGAAGAGTCCGAGCAACATAAATTTCAGAATATCCTTGTTTTGAACCAAACGACCCTTAGTATAGAAAATTACCTTGACTGGTGGAGTGGAAGCAGCCCTTACAACAAAAGAAGCTTTTCTAGTAACAGATTGTGAAATTCTTGATCCAAGAATTTGTCTTGCAGCCTCAGCTGAAGTGCTAATTGATGATGAAGAGATCAATGCTTGAGTTGCCATAATTTTTCTTCTCTTTTTTTTGTTTTTGTTTTTTTGAGAAGAAGAATAATAAACACTTAGCTCCACAAGAATAAATTAAATACAAAAGGTGGCAAATAAGGGGACAAAGTATTTTGTGGGGCTAAGTGAAAAGAATAGAAATTGTGGTGGATATAACAAGTTGTGAATATTGAAGATAAAGTTGTGATCTTGTGGACAAATGAGAAGTTAACATGTGGATTCATTAAATCAGATAAGAGATATTATATTCCTATAGTCACAAATGAAAATCTTAGATACTCTTGGTTGGTGTTGCCACCTGCCTTCTCATAGATTTACTAGTGTATATAGGTTTTCTTCGAGCATAGACGGATTCTGAATTTGAAGTTTGTGGTTCTTATGATAACTTCAAGTTAATACAACACACAAGGCGGAGATATACGTATGTTAAATGTTTAGCATAATTCAACAATTTTGATTTAAATTCTGTATTTGCTTTAGGAAATTCATTAATAGTATAGAACCCAACAATGTAAAATGACTAGAATTAACGATAAGCTTCTGATTTTAACTATGCTTCTAACGATATAATAATAACTGAATCATGAACTATATATTTAATAAATTTTTCAATATAAATTTTTCTATAAAATTTGAACAAAAATTACTATAGTCACATAATATCTTTTAACCTACACAATAATTCAGATGTTAAATTGAAATGCTATTTAAAATTTAACTTCTTGAGTGTTTGTTAAGAAATTAACACATACAATTTAGTGATCTTAATGATATTTCACTCATAAGTATTGACGATCTATTAAAATTTAATCAGATAAAAAATCTAACAAATCATCAAGTGTTAAAGTTAACTCCGATTAATATCAAATAAAAAATCTTGATGATTGCCCGAATCTTATTTAAAAATTTTAATCTACCATCCATTAGGTGCGCAATTTCCAATGTATATATCAAACACCGCATCGAGTGGGGAACAAAAAAGATTGAGGCTATTTTACTAAACATTTTCATTAATGGGTTAAAATTTAAATGAAGACACCGAAAAGATCCTATTTATGATCCGATCCGATTTATGATCCGTAACGCGTGTATACTTGAAGGATCCAACCACCACTTTCCAATCGGGTCGAACTAGAAATGATGCTCCGGTTACTGAAGCACGGGAGAACTCCGGCGGGTCGCCTTTCCCGCCGATGGATGAGCAGCGGCAGTCATAGCAAAACAACGGTGATGAGCTTCGGTGACGGAAGCCATGGAGCTTTGGGCCTTCCGTCGTCCATCATTGGTATGGGCTCCGACGCTTACGAGCCTACTCCTATACCGGGTCTCCCGCCGGACGTCGTTACCGTCGCCGCCGGTCACTTCCACTCCCTCGCCGTTACTTCTGAGGGACATGTTTGGGCTTGGGGACGTAACAATGAAGGCCAGCTTGGCCGTGATCCTCTTTCTCCTAGGTGAGTTAATGATCAAAAACACACCGTATCCGATTTTTCGAGTTTTATATCTGAACTATTAGATATGCAAGTTTCCTAATCAAACTATCACTGACTATTTATCAAAACACACGATTGTTTTTCCGGCATGAGATATCACCATTATTCAGGCAGGAAAAGGAAATAGTTGATAAGCAGTTGTTAATAGTTCATATAAGAAATTCACATACATAATAGTTTCGGTATGAAACTCGAAAAATTGATTGGAGTACTTAAGTTGTGTTTTTAACCTTATATGTTTGTATATGTATGTCCACTGATTGAACAGGCAAAAACTTATAGCTTACTGATCAGTAACTGTATTTAATTGTGGCTTGATATTGTGTAAATTTGACAGTGTTTTATGTGTCAATATGCTTGCTTTCTATGTCTATTAGTAGTACAAGGTGGAGAAAATTGTGTATTTTGTTGTATTCGTTAAATGGAATGTGCTTCTGTTAAAGAATGACAAATGTCCCACATCGGTGATTAATGAGATGGATGAACTCCTTATATGGCTTGGGCAATCCTTCTCCCTTTGAGCTAGCTTTTGGGGTGTGAGTTAGGCCCAAGACCTAATTTAACATGGTATCAGAGCAGGGCCCGTCTCACCCGATGTTGGGGCCCCCAAAATCAAAATTGCCCATGCACCAGATGCACTGGGCGTGAGGTGGGGTGTTAAAGAGTGACAAAAGTCGCACATCGGTGGTTAATGAGATGGGTGGACTCCTTATAAGGCTTGGGCAATCCTCCTCCCTTTGAGCTAGCATTTGGGGTGTGAGTTAGGCCCAAGACCTAATTTAACATGGTATCAAAGCAGGGCCCGTCTCACCCGATGTTGGGACCCCCAAAATAAAAATTGCCCACGCACCAGATGCTAAGCACTGGGCGTGAGGTGGGGTGTTAAAGAATGACAAATGTCCCACATCGGTGATTAATGAGATGGATGAACTCCTTATATGGCTTGGGCAATCCTCCTCCCATTGCTGTGCCTCCGGATTCTTCATCTATATTTCCAGCTCCTTCTGCTGACTCAGTTATGCCCACAGGCTCTGTTGCTCAGCCGTCAGTGTCTCCTCCCACTGCTCCTCCTATGAGAAGATCACAGAGAAGTAGCAATGCTCCACTATGGTTACAAGACTATGTTGCCTCTGCTCATCTTAGTCCTACCAAGCCGCTGTATTCCATTGACCAGTACATTGGTTATGATCAGTTGTCCCCCTCTTATCAGGCTTTTCTTTCTTCCTTTGGCACTGAGGTTGAACCACACTCATTTGAGGAAGCCTGTAAAGATCCAAGGTGGGTTGAAGCTATGCAAGCTGAAATTTCAGCCTTGGAATCTAATCAGACCTGGCATGTGGTTCCTCTACCCTCTAACAAAAGAGCTATTGGTTGTAAGTGGATTTTTAAAATCAAGTATCATGCCTCTGGTGAGATTGACAGATTCAAGGCACGCCTTGTGGCTAAAGGGTTTAATCAAAGAGAGGGCCTGGATTACCATGAAACCTTTTCTCCTGTGGTTAAGATGGTGACTGTCAGAAGTGTATTGGCTCTAGCTGCTAAGGAACATTGGCATGTCCACCAAATGGATGTGTCCAATGCCTTCCTCCAGGGTGACTTATTTGATGAGGTTTATATGACTCTTCCTCTTGGCTTTTAGCCTCCAAAGGGCTTTAGCGTGTAGGGGGAGAAACCAGTGTGCAGGCTCACTAAATCCCTTTATGGCCTAAAACAAGCACCTAGACAATGGAATGTGAAACTCACTGAGGTTCTTATCAAGCTGGGCTTTGTGCAAAGTCGTCTTGATTACTCATTATTCATCAAGAAAACAAGTACCACATTGGTGATACTTTTAGTATATGTGGATGATATGATGATTACAGGCAATGATCTCAGCCTCATTCAACAGACCAAAAAGACTCTGCAGGATAATTTCAAGATGAAAGATCTAGGAAGTCTCAGGTACTTCCTTGGGATTAACAAATGTCCCACATCGGTGATTAATGAGATGGATGAACTCCTTATATGGCTTGGGCAATCCTCCTCCCTTTGAGCTAGCTTTTGGGGTGTGAGTTAGGCCCAAGACCTAATTTAACAGCTTCAATCTCGAGTTAGGAAGAGGTCTGCTGTATGTGGAATCCTCTGTATCTATTCAGCTTTATTCGAGGCGCGTGCTTACAAGTTTGGTATTGAGAAGGATTCATTATAGTTAAGCAATTATTATGTTGGTGTAATCCTCTTCAAAGAAAGTAGCTTTCAGATTAAATCTGGCAATTTCGTGTTTATGACATTGCAAGGAACTGTAAAGAGGTTGTTTGAGCTGAAGATTCATATATCTGTAATGCAGTTATGCCATTGCTTGAATATATGTTTTTTTAGTCCACATTCATGTTTCCACCCTCATTGATAAGGAAATGTAATCAGTAAACTGATTTCAACATAAGAGAGTCAAGTGTGCTTGCAAATGTAACATATGAAAGACAGCTCCGGAAGATGACTATACTCTTGAGGCCATTAACTTGCTTTTGCTTCTTGAAGATGACTATACTCTTGAGGCCAAGGCCTAGCTCAAGTGGCAAAAGGTGGAGGATTTGTGGTTTAGGTCGCATGTTCAAACCCCACACCATGCAAAGCAAAACCCGGTATTTAAGTGGAGAAGGGTAGAGGGGCGGGCCCATTATCCACCGAGTTTAGAAGGCTGTGATTGGTCCAAAGGGCGGGTCACAGACGGATTTCTCGGTTATCAAAAAAAAAAAAAAAAAAAAAGAGAGACGGAAAACTCTTGTGATTTGTTGTTTCTTATATAAATGATTAGCATTCCAAGAAAAGCTTAATCTTGCCAAAGCATGATTCTCGCAATCTGATGTATGAAAACCATTAAGTTCCTTCAAGTTCTGGCAACAGAACATTGTAACAGTAGTAGACAAGTTGTTTGGTCAACCACACAACCTCAGCCTAGTTCCATAGGTTCACAGTAGCTGTAAAGAATGTTGCCATGATAATACCGAGCGCCCGACTGTAACAGATTTCTTTACTGCTGTGAGAAAAGAGCTATTTCTCTTAATATCCAAAGTTTTTGTGACACTCTAGCTTATCACTATTTGTTTGTGTGTATGAAACTAGAAAGGTCCTAGAATTAGGTTTCTCGACTGCGCTAGCATATGTTGCTTGGACTCTCCAAAATTGTTGCCGCACCCGTGTCAGATTCTTCAAAATGCACTACTTTTGTAGTATCCGATATGCACCCATAGACATTTTTAAAGAGTCCGAGCAACATAGGTGTTAGCTATCTTTGTGCTAATGATAGGAAACTAACCTCTTCTTCTCCATTTGCTGGTTATCCAGATGAAGTGACTATTGTTTTCCAAAGGATCTCATGTGTTTCCTTCTTTGTCCTGTTTTCACCATGTCTTTCTTTTCTTCTTTTACTTAGGGTTGGTTTGGGGTTCTAGGGTGTTTGTATTACTGACATGGAAATCCTTTTTGTTGAGCTTGTTCAGAGAAACGTGGAATGAACCAAAAAGAGTAGAAGGACTAAATAAAGTAAGAGTTCAAGCCGCATTTGCATCAGGTGTCATTTCTGCCGCCATAGGAGATGATGGATCTCTGTGGGTTTGGGGAAGTTCTAAGCGTGGGCAGCTTGGTCTTGGCCAAGGAATCACCAACGCTGCATTACCTTCGAAAATTGAAACACTTTCTGGAGAAGAGATTGTTAAGGTGGTCATCCAATCATGCTTGAGGTAGAATAAGTTTTATTTGTCAAAGAAAAAGGTGGAAGAAATTTTACTGAGAACACATAATGATATAATGTGCAACAATAGTAACCAAGTTAAGTAGATGGTCAATAAGGTTGAACTGTTTAGATTTTTTTAAAATATTTTTTTGGAAGTGTAGGCTTGTTGTCAAATCATTTGGTGTGTGGCAGGTCTCATTAGGTTGGGGACATGCTCTTGCGCTAGCTAAGAATGGGAATTTGTTTGGCTGGGGATACTATGCAGATGGTAGAATCGGTAAGATAGGAAGAGAGTTGGAGATATCTCCACTGGAATCAAATGGTACTAAACTTGGATCAAGAGGAGAATCTTCTGCATTTGAAGCTGCTGAGAAGTTAGTCATGGAAGCTATCGAGAAGGAAAAGGATATGCCTATAATATGGGAGCCCGGTTCAATTGAGGAGCTACACGAGTTAAAAGTTGCAGATGTAGCTTGCGGCCTTGATCACTCTCTTGTCCTTTGCCGTAAGTCACATTTACTAATGTGTAAATACTTGAAATGTACATGAATGTATGTTGATGGTGGTTTATATTTACTTATTTTAGGTGATGGGACACTGTTTAGTGGTGGAAGCAATGTGTATGGCCAGTTAGGAAGAGCGATAAAAGACTTGGGAATGCAACCCGTTAATATAAACTTCCTTCCTCTCTCTATAGCTTCGGGTCTTGGGCATTCTTTGGCAGTTTGTAACGATCCTTCATCAGAATCAACAGGAAATGCAACCAGTGTTGTATCATGGGGATGGAACAAAAGTTCTCAACTTGGGAGGGAAGGTCCAGACGACATTCCTCAGGTTGTTGAAGGGCTGATTGGTGAATCACCTGTTTCTGTATCAGGAGGACGAGCACATTCCCTTGCTCTCACAACAAAGAAAGAGTTGTGGGCTTGGGGCTGCGGGAGGAACGGGAGGCTTGGTTTAGGCAGCTCTGCTGATGAAGTGGAACCAATGTTCGTTGAATATTTGGAAGGTTCTGAGGTTATTCAAGCTGTTGCAGGTCTGGATCATAGTCTTGTTCTAGTTGGTGAATAAATCTTTGATTTCTTATTTCTTCTTGTTTTAGATAATCTTTAGGGCTCGTTTGGTACAAGGTATAGGGATAACTGATGTTACTTTTATCCTACATTGAGTGTAGAATAACAATCCTGAGATAACTTGTTCCCCAACCAAACTGAGCCCTTAGAATGTTAAAAACACCATCAAGAAATAAAGAAGTAATGCTTGGGAAATTGTTCTCAACTATTAGTATTCTTTTGTCTTTGAATGACAAATAGGATCCTGCTAATGAAGACAGATGATATGATCCTACGAAAACGAGTGCCTCTTCTGAGGATCCCTCTCGACAGGTTGATGAGCTTTTAGACAATCCAATATGAACTGACTTCAGAAGCATCGAGCCATTTGTAATGCTCGTCTTTGAACGAACTGAAAGGTATCAATTCGACTCCCTCTGACTCTGAATCTCAAAAGTTTGCAGGGCTATCATCTAACTGTTTCTCATCTTCTATATCCACCTCCAAGATTTCCTAAAAAGAAAAAAGAAATAGTTACAGAGTTGATTGAAAGAAATAAACACTAATTTTTATAGTATATACTTACAGGGATTCTTTGCTTCAAGTAATTACCAAGTCTTGCTACAACAGTAGAACGTGTATGCCAAAACTTGCCACTTAGTCTAAGTTTCACATAAGGTCCATCCACTTCTGCAAGTTCTGCTTTTCCTGTACAACATTTTATTTCCTCTTGTTTAGTCGAGCGTCTATCGGAAATAAACTCTTAGGAAAAAGGTCTACGTTCATATTGCTATCTTTCCAAGACTTCACGTGTGTGATTACACTAAGTATGTTATTGTTAATACAGAAAAGAAAGAAAAAAACAAGATTTAATTTTCATTATTCATTTGATGAGAAATCACCTGTTATCCCAACTGTAGTATCAAAAAGTTGTGCCAACTGCAGAATTCAAACAATAAAACAAATAATGAGATGATTGATAAATCCAGACACAAGAACTGAATATTTATTGAGATTTTAGTAAGTTTTTTCATATATATATTTATACTCTGTATCAATAGTTATGAGTTCAGATGAACCAAATAGCTAAAGGGATGTCACATCTGAGTTTGAATTTTGCCCGTAGACAAGAACGTGGTATTTAAATGGAGATGGGTAGAAAGCCCAAGGCGAATTCAAGATTTGAAGTTTGTGAATTCGATTGGAAATCTACCACAGCCTACTTGATATACTAAGTTGCAAATATATCATTTGTAGTCCTATATTAGATTTTTCAACACATGCAAAATCTGAGTCAAAAGTTGGTGAATTCACATGACCTTTAAATTTCTTTTTTGTTTTCCTCCCAGTGTCCATTATCTTATATTGGGGCTCAACTAAATCGGAGAACAGAAAGTCCTACAATAGGATAAAGTCTTCCATAAGAAAGACGACTTTGTACCAAGTAGGACTCGCTTGAACCCAAGACATCTTATTACTTCCTCAATCTCTAATTACTTATCGAATTTTCTTTTTTTTATTTGTCCCTTTTTACTTGTCCATTTTGACAAATCAAGAAAGGACAATTTGTTTTTTACTTATTATACCCTCAATTAATTACTTTCAAAGGGTGGAACTTCTTGAAAATCTTAAATTTTTAATTCATCAACTTCATAATTAATAGGGGTATAATGGTAAACTCATTATGTCAATCATTATTTTCTAATTGGTCTGCGAATTCAAAAGTGGACAAATAATTAGGGACAGATGTAGTAATGATAAATAAACGCTTATCACTCCACCACAAATCATTATTGGTGAATGAACCCATAACTTGTCAAAGAATGAACTTATTATCCACCGAATTTTGAACCATGTATTATAAGGATAAAATATTTCCCAATTATTAAAACAAATATATTGAAAAAAGAAAAACAAGAAATGATATACCTCAGCCTTTGCATCTTCTAAGACTTGGATAATGTTGTCTTCAGTCAAATCAAGAGGTGAAAGTGAAGCTGATATTCTACACAAATATGTAGTCCTTTTTTTTCTAATTCTTGATGATGATAATCTTAGACTTGTTGTGCCTCCATTTTTTAATTTTGAGGCGCACACAACATTTTGGAAATTTGGTAGCAATTGAGAAGCAAAAGTGGTGAATTTAGTTGTTGATGATGATGATAAATGTTGAAGTTGTAGTGCCATTTTTTCTCTTTTTTTTTTTGGAGTTGTTGCTATCCTTTCTTGTTTCTTGAAGAGGGAATTTGTGGCTAGAAGCTATTGACTCAACAAAAGGCCTTTTTCCATTTTTTTTTTTTAATAATTCCCTTGTTTTTGTTTAGATATAAGTTTTTTTTCTTTTTTTAAAGAGTATGGTAAAATAATTTCTCTATCCTATTAATATTATACATGTAAAGTCTATGTAAATCTTATCTTCTTCATATTTTACTAGTGAGATTACAGTAAATATGTTTATGGTAGTGTTTTATAACTCAGGTTCAACTTTAGACTAGATGATTTGCAAGGTTGAACCTGTAAAGGATCGTCTTGAATTTTTTGTATGTTAGAAGATCTAAAATATTAAAAATAAATAAATAATAACGTTTGTTAATTACAAGGACAAAAGTGAGCTAAAAAGGTAAGTGAAAGAAATATTTTTAATAAAATTGACGGATAAAAAGTATATTTAGACTTTTTAAGATAGTCCAAAGATATTTTTAGCCCTTTTATATTTAACAAATAATCTTTACTTGAAAATTTGTTGGGCAAGTTTATTATTGCTCCCATTGGACATAATTAATTTTGAATATGATCCCAATCTATGCTTCTTAGGAAAAATAATTAGAATTTCTACCTAATGAGCAACATAAGCAAATTATAGTGGTTCTCTGAAATACCTTGAGGATAAAGAGTGTTGATCTAATGATTAATAAAATTATTAAAACTTAGGTTTAAATTTCGACTAAGACTATAAAGTTATGCAATTTCTTTCCATTCAGCAAAATTGTGGTGGATAAAACTATATGGTAATTATATGTATTGGTGAAAGATAGTGGGTATTTCGTAAAATAATTAAAAAATGTACAAGTTGATCCAAACATCAACTATATAAAATTATGTAATTTCTTTTCATTCATCCATATTTTGGTGGACAAAATTATTTGGTATTTATATATGTTGGTGAAATGTAGCAGATATTTCGTAAAATTAATAAAAAAAAATATGCAAGTTAAACCAAGCATCAACATTATAAAATTGTGTAATTTCTTTCCATTCAGCCAAATTTTGGTGGACAAAGCAATCTGATATGTTGGTGAAAGATGATAACTATCTCATAAAATTAATCAATGAATGTGCAAGTCGATCCAAACAATAACATTATAAAACTATGTAATTTTCTTCCATTCATCTAAATTTCAGTGACAAAATTATCTGATATCTATATCAAAGTAACAAATATCTCAAGAAATTAGTTGCAGTGTGTATAGATTGATTTAGACACCGTCCTTTTATATATATATTCTCCATAATGTATCACATAAATTATTAAGAGATCTAAAGGCAAACTGGCCCAAGGCATATGAAATGAAGTATTTTTTTTTTCTATACATGGTATCCATAATGCATAGTTATCAAGGTACATTAATATGTTTGCATAGAAATGTGTGGAAAAGCTTTAAATTACATTAAATTTCCAAAACTACCCAACTTCTCATCTAAAAAAACTTCATTAATAAGTAGTGGACAACCATCACTCCAATCTCCCCATCTCACTTCAATTTATTTTCTCTATTTTCCACAATATCTTAGTCTAAGTGTGTCAAAAAAAAGATTTTTTTTTTTATCAATTATGGGAGATTTGGCACAAAAAAATGTTATGGAGAGTGAAAATAATGGAAGCAATATTGGTGAAATAATGTTGAGGTTGTTACCTATGGCATTATGTGTAGTGGCACTTGTCATCATGCTTAAGGATTCTCAAACCAATGACTATGGTTCACTTTCTTACTCTGACCTTGGAATTTTTAGGTAACTATATTTTTCGATTTGTTTAAGTTTTATGCATTAACGATAAAAAAAGGTTATGTCATTTTGTCTTTTGCATATTCTTGATATCATCCATATATCATCTAGTTAGGTTTTTTCAGTATTAACAACGTGGAAGAAACAATCAGAAATAAACTAGCTATATTTATGGCTTCGATCACTATTGTTACGAAACAAAATAATCTTGTGTCATGAAAAAAACTATTATACAAATCGAGTTTTTTTTATTGGCTTCATCCCAAACGTCCCAAAACTAATGGAAAAATCTATTATTCGTTAATAAGAGTAGCATTATTTCGAAACTCTATGAACACACAAAGGAATCATGCAACACAAGATATATAAATAAATCTCTATGATAAACATTAATCGCAAATTTGATATTGGTGGGGTACTAGAAATCATGACTTTTGTTAATAACGTCCAAATATTGAATGATTTGAAAAGTTATAAACTATACTCAAAGATCTTTGATTCGATACTTTAGTCCATCGCGCAATTGACTTAGCCCTAGGGATCTCCTTAGACTCTATATATTACTTCCAACCAATGAACATCATATATATGTATATATACGAAACAATATTTTATATATTCGTTATCACATTTTAACGCCTTTAAATGTAACGAAATTTTCGAAATCGATACATGTAACTAGGGGTGTACATAGGTCGGTTTGGTTTGGTTATTTATTAAAAAAAAATCTAAACCAATTATGCCGGTTTATTAAATCTAAAAATCAAATCAAACCACGCAAAGTCGATTTTTTTGGTTTTGATTTTAGTCGGTTCTTTTGGTTTTTTTACAACTATACGGTGTTTGAAAAAGAGATCAAATATATTTTCACTTACCTGTGTGATAAGCTAAACTTAAGAAATGTTAAATGAATAGAAATTTTCGTAAAGACGGTAAAATTCACATGAGTACAATTTTTTATTTTTTTTGAAATATCAATGTTCATTATGCTAAATTAATAAGATTAAAGGATACAATCAAACTGAATACAAACGAAATATTTACAAAGTAAATTGTTAACTTCGAATTTGAAAAACTATAACAATATAATTGTAACTTCGGATTTTAATACAAAATAAAATATTTACAAATTTTACAAGCCCAAAGTTGAAATAAAATATATAAACATTGAAAACTATAAACTAACTAAAACTATATTAATAAAGTAGATTATAAATAATATTTGTTATCTATAAATAAAATATAATTATATATATAATATTTACAAAATTTTACAACCCAAATTTGAAATAAAATATATAAACATTGAAAACTATAAACGAACTAAAAATATATTAACAAAGTAGATTATAATTAATATTTTTTATCTATAAATAAATATATATATATATATATATATATATATATATATATATATATATTATGTCGGTTTGGTTTGGGTTCGTTTTGACTTTTTTCTTTTAATATCAAACCAAACCAAGAGTGGTCGGGTTTTTTTTTTCAACCGTCAAACCAATCAAACCAAACCACAAATCGATTTTTTTTTTTTTGATTTGATTTGATTCATCGATTCGGTTTGACTTGTACACCCCTACATGTAACTTAGTATTATTGGTGAAATATTGAATGTGGTGCAGGTACTTGGTACATGCAAATGGAATTTGTGCAGCCTATTCCCTTTTATCAGCTATAGTTGCAGCTCTTCCTCGGCCTACAACATTGCCTAGGGCTTGGACAATCTTCCTCCTCGATCAGGTTATTAATTTCCCATTTATATATTCCGCATCATCGATAATTGGGTCAGAAAATTAATCCACTATTTACATAAAGATCCCTTTAAAGTTATCAGATATAATAAAGAAAGTAAGAAGGGATAAGGCCCTACGAAAATATAAAGCACTTAAGATTGTTATGACGTTGGAGAAATGATAGTTAGCCTCCAAGTACAAGATTCAAAGTTTGGTGATCGTTCATAATAAGTGAAATTAGTAACTATACTCTAATAAGTTAATTACATCTTACCAAAAATTAAATAAATAAGTATAATACATATAAAGCTAAATCATTTTCTAAGTGCTACTTAAAAATTACTTGTAGAAATAGAAAGATAATTTAGTCAAAGAATCCTTTTATGATTAGTGGGGGAAAAGATCTTACATTTCTCTATTGAAACAAACTCTCAACAGGTTCTCCATGCTCATTAATTCAATTATTGTAATTGGCATGTATGCACATCTAGATACCTCAACTCGTCTTTACTATGTCAGTTGAACACTCCAACTTACAAAATGATCATCTAGACACCTCTAAAATTTATGTCACTTCAACATCTGGTGTCAACAATTATTGTAGTGTTTAGTTGTCAGTTTAGGTCATGTCTAGATATACACTCTCAAAGTTAGAGTGCTTACTTGTTAGCTGAGTCCATTATCGAGTGTTGGCTTATTTTTCTCAATTACTAAAAGTTTTACTTTGTAGATATTGACATATATTATATTGGCTGCTGGAGCTGCATCAACAGAAGTGATATATTTGGCATATAAAGGGGATACAGATGTTACATGGAGTGAAACTTGTGGTTCTTTTGGTGTTTTTTGCAAAAAGGCAACTGCATCTGTCTCCATTACATTCATTGTTAGTCTTTGTTATGTTGGTCTTTCTTTGCTTTCATCTTACAGACTTTTTAGCAAATATGAAGCACCAATTGGACAAAACAACAACAAAGGAGGTATAGAGATAGCTAATTACTGAGATCAAATGGTATGTAGTCACATGTTTTCAAGATTTGAAGTTGTGTAATAAATATTACTTCCTCCGTTTCATTTTATATGATGTTGTTTGATTAATAGCACGCTCAAAGTTCAAGAAAGAAAGGAAAAAACATAGTATCTCGAGACTCGAACTTGAAACAGATTTTCCACGATAATAGACCACAAGACTATGTTTGTAAGGAATTTCTACAATATTCAATCACACTGAGTTCAAGTCGAAGTTGCCATATAGACTAACAACATGATGCCATGAAGAAGTCACACGCAGAAACGTAAAAACACACAATGGCCACGCTGAAACGCATGATTTTTAACGGTAGCTATTACGTTTTTAATATCTACTTCCATAAGAGCAGAGTACTTGCTGTTTTTTTCCAAATGACTTCAAGAATCAACGAGCTTCATACTGCACGACTGCACCAAAACAATATAGCTTAGTGTACTTGTAGAAATAAACTAAAATGAAAAAAATGCAGAAAGTGAGATATTGTAGGTTGGCCCAGACTTCTAGCAGCAACGAAGTGAGATATTTCGAGATAGTGTCTAAATTCTGAGTTGTGGTAAAACAGATTTCGAGATGGTGTCTAAATTCTGAGTTGTGGTAAAACAGATTTCGAGATGGTGTCTAAATTCTGAGTTGTGGTAAAACAGATTTCGAGATGGTGTCTAAATTCTGAGTTGTGGTAAAACTCCTACTAAGAAGATTCTTGTATTAGAAACCTTGCAGTGGTAAAACAGATATTTCGAGATAGTGTCTAAATTCTGAGTTGTGGTAAAACTCCTACTAAGAAGATTCTTGTATTAGAAACCTTGCACTGGGGAATGGTTTATTTAGCTTTCGAATCTCTAGATTTACAACAAAGAAATACAACTATATGCATAACAACTATCTTAGGATTGCAAACTTGGTAGATATCAATCAAAAAGATAACAGTCCATTGGTGGACCTAGTGAATCAGCAGCAAATATGGGCTCACTTTCTTCCTTCGGGAATAGTTTTAACAGTTTAAAGGACATAAACATATTACACTAAGTACATCTCTATTGATAACAGAGCCAATAATATGCCATATCCTCTAACTTAAAACAGAATCTAATGAGACTGTTGTTGCAGCATATGGACCATTAAAATGGCACGCTAAACGCACATACACAGATTAAACCGAAGCATATGTTCTAAACCAGATTCACCTAAAGATGCCCAAACGAAAAGGCTAATTCAAGCATGATATGCGACAGTATGGTTGAATACTATATGCAAATAAACATAAATACAGTTTTATCAAAAAATATTTTCTTGTCTCTTAACTTCCCTTTCAATCGACAGACAACCACAACTAGTAATCAAAATAACTGCAAAACTAAAAGACAATAACATAATAAGTTCACTAAATGAGGCAAATAACTTAAAATACGATTACTATTTAATTGTTGAAAAGTTCCATGGGTTGTAGCAAACATTACCTAATAAACACAATAGTAAAAGATTAAAGACCATCATACTGATCACCAATAGAATCCTAAGACTGTTAGATTTTCTTACATGTTTGCATCTCATCATTGCAATTCTAAAACTGTTCTATGTTGTACTTGAGCCTTTTTCTAAGACTTCTCTTCAACAAAGATACTACATTAAATGCAATATTTACAACTCCATAGAAGCACATCAATTTCATCCCCTACCATCCCGGAATGCTAATTTAAAAGAGAATACCACTTGAAATTTCACTATATCAAAATTACAACACCTTCTGAATTTCAGTTCACCCAAATTACAACTCTTTCTGAACAAGTGGGGTCTGGGGTGGGGAGGATAGTGTGTACACAGCCTTACCCCTATCTTGTGCAGGTAGAGAGGTTGTTTCAGCTCAAATAAAACATATCAAAATCAAGTATGAAAAGGAAATAGTGAATACAGTAATGAAGAAGCCATACTAAAAATAAATGAGAAGAGACAGTAGAAACAACAACACTCCCATCTTTCGAACAGAAGAAACAACAATACTCCCATCTTTCTAAGATCACCAATTTAATCCAACACTTCTTTTACTCTCAATTGAATAACCTAACCAAGTTAGACAAACAGAACCATAAGCCTTAACCTACTAATCTATTCTTAAGAAACAATCCCTGTCGAAACTGAACCACTGTAATATCAAAAGGGGTAGTTTCCTACAATGTCAAGTTTTTCTTAATAACAATGTCCGAAACACACTTGCTCACCTTGACTAATTCCACTCTACCAACCACCAATTTAAGCACGGGATAACATTGTTCACCCAGGCCATAACAGATGGAAACAAAACATGTAGTCTTTGAACCTAAAACCTCATGATCTTCAGTTCAACACACTTTATTTCCCACAATCGAAATATAGCTATCTAGGTCAACTTGCCCGAACCTCGAATCAACTAATTTTTCTTATACCATGAGGTCGAAAACAAACATACTCAAATCCCTAATTCAAGTAATTTGTTTGAATTTACTCCAAATACCAAAATCAAGCAAACATTAACACATAAAACTCAGATTAAAAGGGTAACAAAAGCATAAAAAGAAAAAATAATTACTTCTGCGAGTCCTCTTCTTGTAAAGAATACGATAACCACATTCACGGCACTGTATCACATCACCAGGCTTTAGGGTATTCTCCTGTCCACAATCTTCAAAAAAAAAAAAAAACAATTAGCTCCATGACACGCTAAACCAAAATTAAACAAAAAAACAGAACAACTATGAAAAAAAAAGTACCTCCGCAGATGTAGCTGACTGGTTCAACAGGCTGAGAATCCATTGATGATCAACTGTAAGCAGAGACGAAAAACTTGAAAGGGAAATTTATGAGGGTTTATAGGGTTTATATAGAGGGTTTTTGTATGTGATTGGTAAAACTTGTTGGGCCTGGGCCGAGTTATCATCAGCTAAATCCTTCCTTAAAGGGGTTGGGCTTGGCCCAAACACTATTTCACTTGATTGGTAAAAATAGCGTACACTAGCCACTTTTAGTTTGGTCTTTTTTAGGACAAACAACGCAAATCTCATTAGTTCGGAGTCTAATCATGTGCTTTTTCATGTATTTTTGAAAATATCATTCATGTAAGATTCCGGTCTCTAGATACATAAGGTTAAAATTATGTGTAATTTTATTTCAGATACACATTATCCAAGTAGATTTACATATATGTGGTATACATTGGACTCTCTCACTCGCCTCTCTCCTTTTTCGAGTGTGTTTCATCCTATGTATTTGTAATTTGGAAGATATTTGGTACCCGGTATCCTAGATATATATATATCTAGTTTGATTCGCTTGTATATGTGATACACTGTGACTAGAGTTGTCAAATGGGCTTGGCCCGCTAGGCCGGCCCAACCCAACCCTTGAATTAAATAGGTTAGGCTCAATTTTTTCAGCCTATTTAGGAGCGAGGCTTTTTAGCCCAGCCTCATTTGGCCCGCTAGCCTCGTAGGCCCAACTCGCCAGCCTCAGAGGCCAGCCCGCGGGCTGTGAATTTTAAAAATATTTATCATATATATTTTAAGTAGTGTTTTCCTTGTTAAGATTTTGTCAATAAATATTTTTAAAATATCAATATAAAATCAAGACTATATTTTTTACACATCTTTTACATTTTAGGGTCATTAGCCTACTAAATTTTCTTATTAGCCCAAGTCCATCAAACCATTATAACTATGAATCTTTGACCTCTTTTACTTTTGTTTTTATGCCTAATTTTTCACTTCTCCTTTATTGTCTTGTTTATGAAAATAGGGATCATGTAATGTTTTTTGCTCGGATGAAACTTATGAATGTTGTATCTTGGCTATTATGTATTTGTTTTGTAAATATTCACTGAAGTATATGTAGTTCATCAACGTTTGTATTCTTTCTAAGAGGAAAATGTTGTCCGTTTTTTGGTTGAAGGGATAACCCGTCCCAACCCGTGGCCCGCTTAGGGCTGGATTGGGCTACTATTTTATAGGCCCTTTAATTAAAAGGGTCAGCCCGTCCCAACCCATTTAACTCTCTAGCCCGTTAGGATTGGGTTGGGTTGAGCCAGCCCATTTTAACAGCTCTAACTGTGACTCTCTTGCTCGCCTCCCTCCTATCGCACTCGTTTCTCTCCCTATGCATATGTATTAATGTATCTGGTAATATAGATCTAGGTGGTAAAAATATATATGTAATTAGGTAGTTTTCCATTTTTTTAAGGTGACGTTTGGCCATGTTATATTACTCATAAAAATAGAAAAATAGTCATAAGAAGAATCGTAATATTTCAGAGATTTGACATTATTAATTATTTCTCATTCTTTTATAATAGTTGCCCTTTAATCCTCATTCAAAAATAAGTATTCGTTTATATTAGATAGATAACGCATTATCTTATATAAACAATTAAATAATCGAATAATCTTAACCAAAAAGAGAAAAATCGAACCAGATCGAATAATTTAAATTTAAATAGAATAACACTTTAATTCACGTTTGAACACTAGAAATAAGACATGTAATTGCTATAACAAATTAAATTATACAGATATATAAGTTAAATCCTCAATGGTAGAAATAGAAAAATCTTTCCTTTAATTCCACTGCCTACATATAGGAAAGTGTTTATTCAACATAATACATAACAAATAATTTCCATAAAGAAGAAATTAAAATCTCATTCACCCCTTGTTCGAAAATATGGTGGTGAAGAATAATGTCAAAGTAATTAATTCTCTAAGACTAAACTCATCACTACCATCAAAATACAGGCATGTGAATGATAATTAAGACAAAAACTAGAAAGAAAAAAAGAAAGAAGAAAAAGGAATAAAAAAATCCTTTTCTCCTTGTGAATAAACTTGGCATGCACTTGTTATAGTTTTAACCTATGTTGTTTGAACCTTTAAAAAAATATTGCTCTATTAGTGTTGGATGAACAACTTATAGTATTTTTTAAGAGTCTGAACATCACGGATTTTAATACTATAGTAGTGCTTTTATTTTCATGGAGAGGATACTATAGGCAGTTTTGTAAGGCCATGGGCTTAGTAATAAGCTAAGATGGAGCTAACTTCAGCTCCGAGGTATCGATCTCTTTCGAGTTTTCTATCGAGAGAAGATGAAATAACTGATACATAAGCTTCTTCCTCATTGATGGTGTCCAATTTTTTAGAAATTGGACATGGTTTAGGCAAAGAGATAAATTTTTGTGGAGCAATTTCTGTTGAGAACCTCGTCAATTTAAGAATATTGGCCATAATTGTAATGTTGGAGGGGGGAAGAAATTGGTAGTATAATAAGAAATTGGAAAATGTTGTGATAGGCCTTATCAACTTATGGTATTTATAGAAGAAAAAAAGTGAGAACTATTTATTTAGGGGATATGTGTGGTTAATTAACTAGCACGTAATCACACAAATGAAACACAAAAAAAACAAAAATAAAAAATAAATAAAATAAATAATATATATATATATATAAGTATTTAACTAGGTTTATAACCTACGTCAAATTGATAGAGTTTTGTAGTACTATGAAAGAGAAAAATCGATATAGGAACATGACTCGAAATTGCAGGTGCGTTGAATATTGTGCTACTAAGGCGGGACACGTTCTAGGGAATCGCGTTAGTATGGTGGGATAGTGCTCTCTAATAACACTCACTAATTGTGCTCGATCTGTTTAAGATTGTCAATAAATTTGATGCAATCTCAGGCTTATCGATCTTTAACCTCCACTACTATCATATAGTTTAATCTCACGACACGTGTTGTGTTTTTTGTCTCACAGAGCGAAGTTTTCTCTCAGACTACATATGCATACTTGTCTTATAAAACTCTTCACTTTCCTAACTCTTTCATTTCAAATGTGTGATACACCTAATATCATGTGCACCTGACCCGTTTACATTTTCTTGCTAGCCTAAAAGTCTGTCTGTCTTTCTCTTTGATTCTCCTAGCACCATATCTCCAATTTTCGGGCCGTGCATGAGCTTTTTTTAAAAAGATTGTGTATCAAATCAAAATCACATTAACAAATTGAAACGAGGGGCGTAAAAATATATATTATTTCCATCGTGTCCAATACGTTATTGCCTTTTAACATTACACACCAAACTACACGCCGTCCTTTTTTTTTTTGCATTAATTGAATGAAAATGTCTTGTTTGGCCAAAATTGACTAAACAGCAAAACCCTATATAATGGGACCAAAAATCAAATTCTATATTTGAAATTTAAATTTTTACTGGTTATATTTTCCACTATGAGTTAAGCTTACAAATTAGGAATTTAGTTAACAGAATAATGTGTTACAAATACATAATCAAAGTAAAACAAGTTCATGATACGTATTATTAATTTTAGTTACGTTCAAAGATTTCATGAATTTATTTCTTGTGTTATGGCATCATCTCGACCTAAAAGTGTGTGTATGAGTGTATCTGCGCTGAGATTTGACCCGTTATCATATATATGGTGAGGATATCATATATGTAATTTCTCACGATTCAAGTCATGATAACATGTATAATTCGTTGTGACCTAAAGATGGTTACATCATCGTTGAACTCAAAATCATGTGTATTATCATGTGAACTTGTAAGATCTATTTTATATAACATTTCACTCTTTTTTTTTTTAACTTTTCAATGTAAAATTCGTCTATCATATATGTGCACTTCATCATCAAAATCTTGTCTGCCTAAAACTTAAAGCTTCTTTTTAACCTGTCTTCCATCATAAATGTCACACTCAATGTGCGTGTGCCATATAGGACCAAATTAAACCTTTCGATATTAATATCATTTTCTGTCTCTTTTTTTAAATTTTTTTTTTATCGCCTTTTGAATTAGCTGAGAGCCATTTTCTGTTTCCTATAAGAGAAAAAATTACTTGAAAAATGAAACTATGATTTATTCATTATTTTCCTATTTAAATAAATTTTAGTAAAATCACAAGTTTACTTTAATTATGTTATGTAAAACTATTGATCAATAGGGGAGTCCTGATTTTCACTGAGCGTTCAAAACTTTAAAGAAGTAAATACATGATCAAAAAACTCATATATACATTAAGAATAATTTAGACTTGAATACAATAAATATATAATGTATTTTTTTTTATTGAAGAGCCCGAATTCGGATGAACCCCGTTGTAACCATATGGCTACTCCACTGCTATTGACACTCATTATATATATTTACATCTCTGTCACACAAATATCTACAACTTGTCTGAATATCTACTTTGTATTCTGTTAAATATTATCATATAATTGAGACAGACGGATATTGTTCATGAGTACCAGCAGTGTCACGACTCCACATCTTTCTACTTGTATATATCTCCTCAACAATGACCTTTCCTTTTGATATATTATTTTGAAAAGTGTTTTTTCTTAAAAAATAAATTGTGTATATACTTTTGTTGAAAAATAATTTGTTTTATAAAACATTAATTGCTATTCAAAAATGTGTTTTAAATTGATTGGTCAAACACAAAATTGTTTCTCAACAAAAGTACTTTTTTGAAAAATATTTTTTTAAAATAAGTTGATTTTACAAGTTTGGTCAAACAAACAATTAGTCATTATATAATACTTTTTTCATTATAACAATCAAAGTTCCTTTATAATTAATTTTTTTTTGTTATATTATCTTATATATTTTCTATAAAATAAAAATTGCTTATAACAATCAAATAAATATCTAAACAAACGACGTCGTTATAACGACTCTACTGAGGGAATGATCATGAAAATTTAGGAGGCACTGGAATATGCTGGCTTTCGATCGAATGCTAGTTTCCACATATATAAGAGCTTTAACTATACAAGCAATGAAT